GAGAGATAAGGAGGGCTCATGGAGCTCAGGCACAAGTCCACTTGCTCACCTGTCCGTTCCGGTTGCCCTGCTCGGCCGAGGACTTGATCGTGTTGGACTCAAGGATGAGGCAGCGAGCGACGCAGCACAGCACCGACAGCGCCGCAACGCCTCGCCAGCACATATTCCGATACAGCATAGTATTTTATCTGCAGCTGGAACAAGAAAACAGCTCGAACTGCGCTCTTAAAAAAGTTTGAAGTTATCGGGGTTTTTTTGTTCGTTATTCCACCCAAGTTGCGCTCAGAGAGAGCTCTCTCGGTGCTGGTGCCCAGGCGGTAAAATAGTGCGCTCAGGCAGGCGAGCCCCGTTTGTGTCCAGAGGTGTCTGTCCCGTATTTATACCTCCGAGCCGTGGAAGATCCACTCCCCACGCCTCCTCTGCAGCCGCGCTGCCTGCCCGCAGCCCACACACCCGCGAGATTGTGTACATACATACAGCGCAGTGTTTTTGGAGAAAAGGCAGCGGATTGGGATGAGCTTTCCCCCGGGCCGGTCCGGCGGATCCATTTCGTTTCCTGACCGGATTAATCATTAATCTGGATCTCCCCTGCAGATGGGAAATCAGCGCAAAGGCGATATTGTAATTAACCGCGGCTTCAAAGCTGCCAGGAGAGCCCCGGACCTGGAGGCAGCGGTTTCGCTAATCGCCTCTCTTCCCCTGCGTTTATCTCCTGTACCTGCCGCTGCCTGGAGCTGTCTTTACCAGCCCTGCACCACAAACACCGCCGCCTAGCTACGGGCGCGGACACTGTTACCTGGAGACAACAGAATCTCTTAGATACTCGTAGCGCCTGTACTGCAGGACCACATACGCGTCGGAAAATCCAGGCGTAGATGCACTCGGGTTATTGAACCCCTACTACTCATATCCCCCCCGAACCCCCGGCCCAGCCTGCGCTCCTATCCACCATCCTGGACGGCCCCCCTCTCCCGCAATCTACAGCGCTCTCCCCGCGCTTTCTGTCGCTTGGACAACGCGATGACGGGCCATCATCAAACAGGCTTTCTCCTCTCTCCTCTCTCCCTCTCACACTCCCTCACACGCGTTCTCTCCCACTCGGGCAAGGGGGAAGACACCCCACCGCTCCGGGCCGCGGGTGCCGCGGGGAGGGCGAGCAGGGGTGCGCGGCGTTGGAGCGGCAGGAGGTGCCGCAGCTGCTTGTCGGGATTAAGGGGGGGATTAGAGAGGGGCTGCGGAGACGGGATGTAATTTCGGTGGGGGGGGCCGGGGTGTTAAAAGGGATTGCCGGAATCTCCCCGCAGATCCTCTTCCTCCCGATAAACCCCGTACCTCCCCTGCGCCGTCCGCTGCTTCCCTGTCCAACCCACGCCAGACATCCGCCGGCACATCGCCACCAGGAGCTCGGGGAGACGAGCGGACAGAGCCGCCACTCGGCAGAGCCCGGCTCTCCGTAACTCAACGGGCGAAGGTTCAGTCTCCGCAGCAGGGAAAAGAAAAGAGACGCGGCGTTTCGGCTGTGGTGCCTTCTTCAGAAGAAGGGTCAAGACGGCTCCACAGCCGAAACGTTGTGCATCGTCCCCTTTCAGCGCGGAAGAAACCTCTACCTGTTCCTTCGCAGCCTACGCGTGCTGCCTACTTGAACACCTCATCCTAACGTGCGTTTGCTAACAAGTCGTTGGCGTACGTTGCTCTTAACAGAGAGCAATGTGCAGTTTTGTGTACCTCCGGAGCAGGTGTGTGACCCCCCCAGAGACCTGCCGCAGCTCCGTCCCCTGAAATTCGGTCTCAGCCGCTGGGTGACGAGGGACAGCGCTGGTGTTTTCACGTTATGTCCTCCCGCAGCGAAATCGTTTCCGCCGAGTGTCTTTTATGTGGACCGCTGCTATGGCTCATTAATGGGTCCGCCGATACCCGCAGCTTTCTCCCGACTCCTCAACCGCACAACAGGCAGTTAAGCCCCTGCTGTCTCTGCTCACGGGTGTCCAGTCCTGTTTCTGAAGGGCCTGCACGCGTGTCTGGGGGGGTTGGCAGTGTTTCTCTCAGGCAGCAGCGCCTGAAGAGCTGGGAGAAGCAGGTGAACTGGCCCGGTTAATGCAGTGATCATCGGCTTTAGCCGGTGGAGCGCTTGGTTTAGCGCGACAACCCGGACATCCGGGACCGGGACTGGACCGCCCTGTAGTCTGTGCGCGTTCGCCTCCTAGCCCTGACACACGCCGCTCCACAAAGCGATCTCCCGGGAATGTAAGGTCATTCGCTGCAGTTTCTGGTGTTAAAACCCCACTCCAACCCAACCCGGACTCAAAAAGGTTACGAAGTTTTCTGACTTCATGTAAGAACATTAATTTTCAAACGATCGATCTTTCTTTTTTTTTTTTTTGGTTGCGAAGTGTTCCGAGGTTCTCTGTCGAGAGGAAGGTTTTGAAATAAACCAGGACCTCGGCTTGTTCCACACCCCCACCACCCTGTGTGTAAAGAAGTGCCTTCCGTCCTCAGCTCTATCTATCCCCCTTAACCGTATCCCGTATACTGTATCTACAGGTTTTTTAAGATGGGGTGTTTGAAGTTGAAAGGATGTGCCGGATGGGGAACTAGCCTATTAATTACTGGCAGGTAATTTCAGAGCCGCAATTCCGCCGCTGGCTTTAGAGACGCCTGGCCCCCCTCTCGCGCGCGCTCGGCGCTCCCACACGGGCACGGCTCAACCTCGCCTATGATCCCGGCGAAACACCACCGGGGGGGCTGGGAAAGGGTTCTTTTGATCGGGGTAGAGACTACATAGTATATTAGCACTTCAATCGTATACCGACGGAGGAAAACGGCTTCTAATTAAAAAATAAAATAGCTGCTGTATTTCACTCTCCTCGGTCTGTCCTCTCCCTGTCCTCGTGCATTTCTGCACACATCATTTGTGTCGTCCGCTTGCTCCACCTGTGTGTGTGTGTGTGGTGGGGGGGGTCACAAATTTCCCCCTGGCCTTGACCAATCATGGCCTCCTTACGATCCCCATCTCTGAACTGGCTTCATCACTCTGTTCTCCTCCCCACTGAGCGCTGGTGTGTGGTGAGCGGACTGGAGCATCATCCAGGTGGGGCTGCACACTGGTGGTGGTGGAGGAGAGTCCGATCTGAACTGACCACCTGCCCCCCAGTGGCGAGCACTGAGAACTACAAGCAGCCTGGCCTCTTGTATTTTCAGGATTCCAACAGCTTTATTGGCATGACTGATGAATCATAGTATTGCAAAACCAATAACAACAAGATATTTAAAGACACCACCTGAGACCTGTTATTTAAAACGGTCAGTCGCTGTTCCTTGCTGGCAGTGGGAGCACAGCCTGTCCTCTCTGGGTATCCAGGTCTGCCTGTGTCCAGTTTCTATGGCAAGGCTGTGGTCACTGAGCCTATCCTCTCTGGGTATCCAGGTCTGCCTGTGTCCAGTTTCTATGGCCAGGCTGTGGTCACTGAGCCTGTCCTCTCTGGGTATCCAGGTCTGCCTGTGTCCAGTTTCTATGGCCAGGCTGCGGTAACTAAGTCTGTACTTTATCAGGGTCTGTTTCTGTTTGCTGTGTCTCACCCCGGTGAGGTGCTTCCCGGCCAGTGTGTAATGTCATTTTAGGGTCCGGTAGCGTTGCCTTTTGTGTTGAGTCTGTGCGTGCGTGTCTCAGTGTGTGAGATATGTGTGAGGCTGGCTGTTGTGAGAGTGGCTCGGGACAGTGAGGGGCAGGTAGCTTCAGGAGCAGCTGGCTCAGAGGGCACTTCTTTCAACAGACTGTTGAATAGCAAACAATATATCAGTAGGGAAGCCACTTTCCTGTTTGCCTCATTGTCTCGGCTGTAGAGTTCTTCTTAATGTTTAACATCACAAACCAAGAAAAGGAAGTAACGGCCAATTGAGTATCTCAGCTTTGAGGAGAGATTGCAGTGTATGCAATGCATTAAGCAGCGCAGTTACTAGCCCTCAGGTGATGATTACGAGTATTATCCTCGTTGCTCATGTGCAAACGTGCTTCCTATCTCACCTTAATCCCAGTGATTTAAGCTGCTCGCTTGTAGCAGCGGCACAGCAGGTGTTTTGGCTAAAGGAAAAAAAAAACATTTTAAAATAAAAACTATTATAATGATGATGGTGCGACGTCTCCAGAGATCCAGCCTGAAGAAAACCAAGAAATCCTGTTTTCTTGGGAAGTAGGGTAAGGAAATCAAGCTCTGAACTGGAAGGAACAACCCAGCAGGGGCATGTGAAAGATAGAATGAAAGTTTAAATTGAATGAAAGTGGAATGAAAGTACTGTAAATAAGAATAAGAATAATTAATTAATAATTGCTTACACTTATATAGCGCCTTTCTGGACACTCCACTCAAAGCGCTTTACAGGTAATGGGGTCTCCCCTCCACCACCACCAGTGTGCAGCCCCACCTGGATGATGCGACGGCAGCCATAGTGCGCCAGAACGCTCACCACACACCAGCTATCAGTGGGGAGGAGAGCAAAGTAATGAAGCCAATTCATAGAGGGGGATTATTAGGAGGCCATGATTGGTAAGGGCCAATGGGAAATTTGGCCAGGACGCCGGGGTTACACCCCTACTCTTCGAGAAACGCCCTGGGATTTTTAATGACCACAGAGAGTCAGGACCTCGGTTTTACGTCTCATCCGAAGGACGGCACCTGTTTACAGTATAGTGTCCCCGTCATTATACTGGGGCATTAGGACCCACACAGACTGCAGGGTGAGCGCCCCCTGCTGGCCCCACTAACACCTCTTCCAGCAGCAGCAACCTTAGTTTTTTTTCCCAGGAGGTCTCCCATCCAGGTACTGACTAAGCTCACACCTGCTGAGCTTCAGTGGGCGGCCAGTTGTGAGTTGCAGAGTGATATAGCTGCTGGCCATTCTTAAGAATAAGAATGAACATTGAAAACATAATAGGCATATCACAGAATTTGCATTAAAAATACATCCAAGCAGGGATCATTATACCTGCGAAAGCGTTCTTCAAAACTCCTAATCTAATCCTGTTTTGTTTCTCAATGAAGGTGTGTGGCATATTGTTCCAAACACCCCCTCACTTTCCACACTTCCCACATCCACCCACATTTGGCCTCAATGCCTTTCCTGCCTGGACTCTGCTCCAGGTCGTGACATTGTTCTGACGTCCCATGAGTCTCTTTGTGTCCCAGACGGGGTTTCACCGTACTGGCTGTGCACCCTGGGTAACTGTCGCTGTTCTCCTAGTTGTTTAGAAGTGTCATGGATGGTGACACCTAAATGCAGGATCATTTTTGCTTTTGCAGCCAATTACACCACCTAGCACAATTACAGGGTGCCAGGACTCCCAGAGCCACCAGAGCACCCACAGACCAGCTCAAGACACCAGTATGACATATTTACCCCTTTCACTACAGTCGAGCAGGCTACCCTTCACACAGAAGTAGCCCCATGACACAAGACTTCCGATAGCTGCCTGCCTGACACACACAACACATGACAACATGACACATCTCATCCACAAGAGCCTCTTCCAAAGCCAAGGTCCCAAAGGAAAAGTCCAGCAGCATTACTGGCGTGCGTTCTCCCACTGCCCAAGGAAGGGATGAAACTCTCTGTGTAGCTCCTTGGAGGTCTTCCTCTTACTCCCAGCCAACTCAATCCAGTTTGTATGCTGTGTTTTACAATGGACATTGTCACAAAGCAGCTTTACAGATTTCCAGGCCTGAACCCCCAGTGAGCCAGCCTGAGGTGACAGTGGCAAGGAAAAAACTCCCTCAGACCGAAGTAGGAAGATAAACGTGAGAGGAGCGCAGAATGAACACAGACGGTATGAGAGTCGTCTGTGTTCTATTACATGGTGGGAAAAGTACCACACGTACGGCAATGTCCAACAGCATCTGGAATGTTCCATTGGTTTCCTTCAGCTGAGATTTCTCTGGAAAATCGGCTGTTGATTTTACGAGCGGTCTGCAGGTCCAGCCTCAGGCAGGGGGGCAGGAAGACCTTCCTCTGCTGCTCCCTGTAAGGTCCCTGGTGTTTTTCTCCCTGGTGGTTGTTGACGTCCCAGTATCCGGAGCTCAGGACTCCCTCTCGGGGGTGTGGGAAGTGTCCCTTTGTTGTCTAGGGGTGTGGGCAGAGCTAGACCCTCAGGGCTCATTGATCAACAGGTTAGAGACAGATGGCCAGGCTGTGTCCTCGCA